AAGGAAGAGAGAATTATTTACGGATATTAATAAATATAAACCAGAGTTTAACATGTATTCCACATATTTGAAAAATCTGAAAAATCTGTATATTTAAAAAAAAAATCTGCAGTCTGTATATACAGACATCTGTATCAAAATGATGAGAAAAATCTATATCATTACAGATAAATCTGTATATGTGACATCATTGAGACGACAACGAAAGCACCCACATCGACCGGAGGAAAGGCTTCCAGCAATATGAAGCATGACAAGGCCGCCGTCATCCGGTCGGCATCGACTTGCACTGGTGTGGCCACCATTTGAAAAACAAGCGGTCCTTTTCAGGGCCACCAATTCAAAAACGGAAAGAGTTAAGAACTAAATTATCAGCATATTTGTTCCGTCCACTAGCGGTCTTACGTCAAGCTTCCGTTCGTGCCCCTAGGCACCTAGACCGTTCTACTTTTTTTTCCTTGATTTGTTTTCCGTCGATCTTGTTTTCCGCACTGAGTACCAATGCTACCGACACCAGGGAGACAGCTGGACCCTACCATCGATCCATCAACTCATGGACCGGGTACCAACGGCTTTACTTCCCTTCCGAAGGAAGGCGTTATCAGAGCTGCCTCAGAAAATCCCGGCGGCGCCAAATGGGATTGAACCCACACCACTGACACCGCTAATATAAACATTTTAAAATCTGATAAGTTATTCAAACGATTCTAAAAATAGAGGTTTCATAAAATTTTTAAACCACTGCAATGTATTAAGTCCCGTTAAATTTGGATGATTCTGTATAAATGTATTTATACAGATTTTTAAATAAATTTGCATTAGCATTACGAATAGTTTTATTATATAACTAAAATGAAAGTCTGAAAGTGGAATTTATATTGTTCCTGGGTCCCAGATCATGAAACTTTTTGTTTTTCTAAATTTACATGGAAATATTTACAGGATATCTTCGTCTTTTTTCAGAGTTCCATTTGAATCATCTAAGAATTCCATCATACTTCATTTCTGGATTCCCCTAAAATAATCATGATAATATCCAAACGTTTTCAGTAACATTCTAAGAGTCTCTTGTTATGTCTTATAAATCACTCTCCGATTCCACAACTCCCTCAAACTAGCAATAATTTCCAAGAATTTGCATAATTTTGTTTTCATTTTTCTCTATGAAATTCCATTAGAATATTCTTAATAATTTCCTTGGCACACTCTTCAGAATGACCACCACACTATTCTCAGACTTATCCGATAATTCCCTTTCAGCTGCTTTGTAGGTAAGGTCAGAATTGTTTTTAAAATCATTTTCAGTATTTGCTAAGTACTAAAATACTTTGCCAAAATGGCATTGAAAGTCTCCCAGAAATTGCCAGATGTTCTTTTGGCATAATTCTGATTAAATTTCTTAAAATTTTATAAAAATGAATCTTCATAGAAACATTTAACAGAATTCAATTGAAATTATTCTCACTATTGGTATCAGCATACTCCTTAAGTTTCATCATAAGCACTTTCTTTGAATTCTCTTCCGAATTCTATTTCCATTCTTCACAAAATCTCCATGCAATTGTCATCCGAGTTTTTAAAAGACAACTGACACTGTCTTCAACCAGAGGTTGCACAGACTGAAAACTTAACACTAGAAAACTGACAACACACACAGTAGACCAATAGGGAAATTTTCAGGTTGCGAAAAGTTTCACTGGCTGGAGCGGGAATCGCACCCTCACTTCGTGGCACTCACAATACGCCTGAAAGACGGGTGACACCGCACGACCACGAAGCTTACAAAGACGGATGGAACTCTACTCAGAATTAACTTGAAATTCTCCTTTGGTTTCGCAAAGAATTTGCCTCACACTTCACTGTAAACTATTTTCAACATTACCTTAAAATTCTGAAATTCTAGGGCAATTCAGAATTCTAAAAAAATTCAGACTGCTGTAACTCAATATTCACAGGTACTTTAAAAATGCTAAAAATTATCTGATGCCTTTCAAATTTTCCTTATTAATTATCCTCAAAAATCTCACAAACATGATTCAAAGTCCTGGTTGTTGTCTAAATTCAAAGGCCTTACTAATTTTCCAATTGTTTTCAATTCTGACAGTTGTAGATTTCTCTAAATTAAACGTTGATGGTCTTTATTAATTAAAGAAGCAGTTTTTATTTTTTGATTAGAGTGTAAATCAATTGCAATGATATTTTTAAAGCAACATGCAAATCTGGGAAAATCTGGAACATATTTTAAAAATCTGGAAATATACGTGATCTGTCTGTGTATCTGGCTGGATGACCGAAAATCTAGAAAATCCAGATAAATCTGGAATACCGGCCACACTGCTGACAGTAGAGCACTCAGTAAGTAGCTCAGTCAGCGTTGCCAGATATACCGATTTCCAAACTAGATACCGATATACAGATAAGGTGCCTCAGAATACCGATTTTTGATGTGCTATACCGATATATACCGATTTTTTAAATAATCAAAAACAAAATTTTTGTGTGAGACTTGTATCTTTTTGAATATCTAAATTTTTTGAGCCTTTAAAATTCTAAAAAAATCATCTTCAAACTCAGGCAATTGCCGAAAACTTCAGCAATGTTCCGAGGGGCTCATACAAATTAAAGAAACGTAAGGGAAGTTACACGAACATCAGAACATTTTATGGGATGTTCCGTGCTTATTGATGGCAGTGTCGAAATTTTTAAAAAAATAGAAAAATCGGGAAGTTCAGGGAACTTCAATGCTGATATTACAATAAATTTAAGAAAATCGTGAGAGTGCTTAAAAAATTTCGTAATCTTCAAGAAAGTCTAGAAACCTTCAAAGTTGATTAGAGATATTCCGGTAGTCTCATCTTAATCAGGGAAGTTTCAAGTATTTCAAAGATGATCAGAGTACTCCAAAACAGCCCGAGGAAATATGGAATATTCCTCAGTACATGTCAGGAATGTTCCGAAAATTTCAAGGGCATTGCGGGGTCTTCAGGGATGTTTTATGACCATTTGGAAAATTTTCTTGATCATTAGAGCATCCCCCAAAAAGCTCTTTCTTCCGGAATTATGTCCTTGTTTCTTTCGACGCTTTCGCTCTGGCTTCCGACTTTCTCCAGATTTTTTTTCCAATATAACTTAGGAAATTTCTGCCAGCGTCTCCAAGAAGTTTGGTCCGTCTTCTCCATGAAGTTCAATTAAACTTCTCCCAGAAATTTCTTTCGTCTAGTTCTGGAATTTCGTCCAGTTGTTTTTTTTTTTGACTTTTTTGGAAAGTTTTTCCGAGCTTCTTCTGGCTTCCTCTGGAAATGGCTACTTCTGAAATTTATTTCCGGTTTCCGAAACTTTTCTGCCTTCCTTTGAATGTGAAATCCGATTTTTTTCTGAGTTTATTTAAATTTTCGCCAGAAGTTTCTCAATTTATGCCTTGGAAGTTCCGCGGATGTTTTTCCCACTTCTCTCACAACCTACCTCAAATTTCCTCCAGGAGAGCTTCATTCTCTGGCTCTTGTTTTCAGCTTCCTCCAGAAGCTAATTCAAACATTCCCCAGAGTTTTCTTCCGGAATTCCGATCATAGTTCAAAAGTTAAAATTTTCGCTTTCAAAAACGCCAAAAATATAAAATTAATTAAAATAGTAAATACCGATAAATACCTATTTTTTAAAACCTTTGTTACCGATAAGCTTTAAAACATTCTGGCAACGCTGAGCTCAGTCAGCACGTTAATTCTTCCGTGATGGTACCCAATCCTTGTTTTGAATGAGCGTACATTTTCTATAGAGATTTTCTCGTCCGGTTGTACCTATTGGTGCGATATGTGAGAACGTGTTAGTGAAAATTCGAGGAGAATACATAACAAATCGCTGTCAAACTCATTTTGAAATATCTAATAAATATCTTTCAAATTGCGATGTGGACGGCCCTCAAGGCCTCATCTGCTTTCACAATTAAATTTCCGTGTTCCTCAAAGGATGTTGCGGCAATCATCCTTGCTACACACAAGATTCCATCGAACTGCATATGGATACCATGAGCCAATGTCTGCGATGATTCGGGCATTCTCCGCTGTGTAAGAAGCATTTGAATTCGGAGAAACATCGAACCAATTTCGAAACCGATTGAGAAGATTGTGATTATTTTTGTAATCTGTTTATCTGTTGCTTTTTTGTGTATTATCTATATTTTTTTCATTAAGACAACTACTGTCAGATGAATTACAATAAATAAATAAATAAATAAATTACGTTTGGAAATGGGTTTGTCAACGCTGGTAGTTTGATCATCACTGAAGATTTTAATAAATGATTAGCATCAAGTAAAACTAATTGAAGCCCTTATTCATCAGCTAATAAAAAGCTTATGGATTCATGACCTATGTTTTTAAAACAAGTACTGAGGATCCAAGAGACAATTCGTTAGTAATATGTTTAACGGAAATTAAAGCTTTTGCACTATTTTTTTTAGTTTTCTGACCGAACTTCAGTTTTATGATTTGGGATTACTGTGCTCGGTAAATGTAGAAAAAAAATGGGTGAAACTCAAACAATTTAGTTCTTTAAATATGAAACTTTGAATGAGTACCTATATAATCAGAAAACATCATAAGCAATAAGAATACAACATGGAATTTGTGATGGCTATATCGGAGATACATTTCATAAGTGATAGTTTGAGTGCTTTTTTAAACAGGAGAAAAACACGAAAATTTGCTTTTAAATATGTTTGTTAAATATGCAACACATACTATATAAAATCTATATACGATATCAACGGAAATACCCTCAGCTACAACATGGAACCAATGTTTCTAATTTGGAAAAAGCGCAGCGAGTAAATTTAATCTTTACATTATACTATCAAAACTACCCGCATTTTCATAGATACCCCGTTTTACGGTACGATAAATTTAGGTATTCTTATAATCCAGCGAAAGTCTTGCAAAACTGGAAACATATCCCGAAATACTTTAAGTCCCCAACAAGGGTTGCTGTTTTTACTTGTAGCCTACCTTATCTTCCGCTTATCCGGCGAGCTGTACCAAGCGATTGTCGTTGCATGGCAGGTTCTCAGCTGGGTCAGCTCCGCCACCGTCGTATTGATGGGAAGCTGTGGCAAGTTGGCAAACTCATCCTTGGTTGTAACTGCAATCTGTATCCGATTCGTACGGAAATGTTCGTCGGCTTCGGACACCTGAATCTGATACCGTTCACCCGGTACCACATTCTCAACCATGATCACCCGTGGGTAGTAGATGTCCACGATCGGTTTCATCAGCAGCCGTTTCTTCCGGTAAATTTCCAAGTTGACCGTTCCACCGCACGGAGTCACCAGAAGTTTGAGCGTAGTGTTGCTAGGCGAACGCTTGGGAACTTTGAAACTGAACGAGGTTAATCCTCCAAGCGTTGAAAGCTTACCAACGAAGAGCTTGCCTTCCAATAACTGCGTGGGGCGAGTTCGGTTAACATGAATGGTGGCAGCCCCAAGCAGATAGGAGAGATTGTTTTTCTGGGTATGAACGGCAAAGACATCCAGGAAGTACGTAGTGTTTGGCTTCATTCCCCGGATTAACTGTTTCGTGCGGCTACCAGTGCAGGCGATCGTCGTTTTTGCCTCTGGTGGGACCTTCTTCTCTTCATCGACTGATATCCGTCGGAGCGTTTCCGTCATTGAAATACCACACCTGGACCCGTATTGTGAGTTTCCCAGCGCCTGACACAGTGTTCGCTGCGGATGATCTCGACTGATCGCCAGGCAGTAGTGCATTGCGTGGATGTCAAATTTGCTCTTCTCCCACTTGACTAGAAGCTGGTGCCTGCGGGGGTGCTGATGGAACTTGATGGGCGAGAGTGAGGTTCGATTCAGCATTGGCCATAGATCGACGAGACTGCGCGTGTTGTAGGATATTTCCGCTGCACAGTAGATGTCGGTGATTTCCACCCAAACGTGGTAGCTACCTCGGGAGGCGCACGGTAGGATGAAGAACGATCTGTTCAGCGCATTGTTGCTTCCAAGGATTTCTATTTGGCGAAAGCAAGCAAATAGTAGGTCGTAAAACGTTCGAGGTCAATAACACTATCCGAGAGGAAACTCACCCGAATCGTTATGCACGACCGTCCATCGAATTTCTCCTCCCAGGCTGGGCGTGCAGGATGGCGTGATGACGATGGCAAGTGGATTCGTTTCCGCAAGATGAATCACATATCTGAAAGCGAATGGAAAACGGGTGGAAAAGGGAGAACAATCAGTACGATCCTAGTTTATCTAATTTATACAGTTTTAATTACGGTGATTTGTCATCTTTATAGGTTTGGGGTTTTTCGGTATTGAGTCTCCGGCTTTGTGTGTGTGCGAGGAAAAGTGCAGACGATTTATCATCGCCGAGCGCAATTGTCGTAAAGACGATTTTTATTTGTTTTTCTCCTTCCTCGAAAGGGTACAGTCCGATAGTATGCTTGCGGGCAGATATGGATGGGGAATCAAATTTCCGTCTGATTTGGGCGATTGAGTAGGGAAAACAGTGGGAAGTGAAATGGCATTCAATGGCAACCGCAGCGACATGTTCGGGATTCAAGGGTGCCCCTCCGTTTTGATAGTAACCCAGACCTTGGAATAATGTGAGAAATTTATTGGGTAATTTTAAACAATTTATTTGGCCATTTGCAGCGGGCGGTTTATAGTTTTATAGCCATGCATAGTGGCAAAATTTGGAAGGAATAAACTGTATATGAAGAAGATATTTTTCCGCATGCATTATCGTGAGGTTACTAATGTTGTGAGTTAACTTACCATTGAATTGCATGTGGCGCAAAATAAACCAGTTGCTTAGTAGAACCTTTTCGTCCTCTTCAACTTTGTCAACCCACGAGATCTCTTCCTCAATTTCATGGGTTTTGTACGACCGTCACGCAGCTTCAACCAAACCAATAAACGGTCCAACCATTCTCCAATCGAGTTTGCGATAATTTTAAACCACGCCGTTCTCGATAAGACTTCCCCCAAAAAGATAACCGTACTCATTGCTACCCCGATCAAGTAAAAGCAGAACGCACTCTGCAGGTGATCAATTGTCAGCACAATTTCTTGCTTCGCTGCTAGTTGGTGATCTTCATCCGGATTCAGAATTTCCTTAATGTTGTCCAAAATCGTTACGTTGTATAGGAAATCTTGGAATAACTTCGAAGTGATTCCCATGTCATTTAGATTCGATATAATTCGGTTGAACTTCGGAAGCAAGGGGAAGCCCTTCTCGACGATCATCTCCAACTGGTTGGCGAAAACATCCTGACTGAGAGCGTGGACATCCTCTCGGTAGTGGCTGCTCATGATGTACATCCGACTGGTCAGAATGACGCGTTTGCCTTCGGAAACGGCTTTCACATTGACTGGGGATGGTTGGAATTCTTCCGTGTTGTCGTACAGCGTCGACACTCGGAGATCGAAATCGTCTTCGTTTAGGAACCAATCTTCATATTCCATGCGGCCTCCGATTTGGAAATTTTCTGCCAGGATCTCTTCGATGGAATCGATTTGATATTTTCTTGGAGGAGACGTGAAAAAGTTGATCAGCTGGGAGGTGTAGATGGTGGTCAGATTCATCCCATATAAGGCGAGTGCCATGAAGAAAATTCTAAGGGAGTTGTACATTGGTCGATTGTTCGTTGAGACGCCCAAGAATACACACCAAGTGTTCAGGAAGCATGTTGATAGTTGCTTATGAGCTTGCACCTCCGGTAGGGATAAGCCAATAAGGAACCATGTGCCCGATGATATAAGAAGAATGACTAAAATCAGCTCCCACGTAGCAATTTCAAAAATCCCCAATAGTACTTTCCATCGGCTTTCCAATCCGGCCAATATCACGAACCATGTGTAGTAGTCCTGCAAGTAGAGTGACGTTCCTGCAAAATCCATATGCACATCGTAATCCGGATAGAATGATCCAGCAATGATATCGCATTCATCTGCTCGAAGCTTCCCCAAAAGATCCGACCAGGTGATGTTATCGTCCATCAGTTCGCCTCGTTCCATAGTGCTGCACGATATTTCCACATTAAACTTCATTGATTCCTGCAGCAATTGCATAATTTGCAACTCCAATCCAGTTTCGCAACCCTCGTTGATGAAAGGCGAAGCAACTCTAGTGCACAGTTTAAAAATACAGGATTCCATTTCCGCTGGCACCTTCGGCATTTTGATAGATTTAATTGCTTGACCAGCATTTCTGAAAGTTCCATTCACCACCGTAGCAACTTTCAACGTCTTCATTACACCACAATCCTTTCGCGTTCCATGGTACGGATCTCCAGTGTACACATTGTAGGTCATCAAATCTACCGCGAAAGCCATCAACACGTTAACCGAATGGTGTTGGATAAACATAAAATTCAACGCTTCCAACGCGAACCGATCTTCGTTATCGCGGTCGTTCGGATTATTGTACAACATGATAAATTTCCCCCGAGGATTGAACGCATAAGCAGAACTGATGTATTTCAGAGCGCGTTCCAGCTTATCCATCTCGTCAACCACAATCACGTAGAAATCGATCAGTTTGTAGTCGACAAACTGTATTCTCCGCAAGCTGCTCAACGGCAGAACATCGGACATCAGCTTCAGTTGGAAAGTTTGTCTGGGACCTTCCTCCTTTTCCTCGTATCCGGTGTGATGATTCTGCAGATATCCTAATTCGATCTCCCTAGCAGGAGAGCTTAGATTGTCCAAGTGGAATATGACAATGTTTTCAATCTGAATCGATTCGCTCGTGTCGAAGAAGACATCGGTGAGAAGCTCCAGACAGTTGATGCCCGCTCGGACGGCTGTTGGGCCACGTTCGTTCTTCATCCGGACGTAGACGATTCCGGATGAAAGTGGAGCTGTAGTCGCCGTCAGGAGGAGCGTCAGGTACGTCAGGTGCATTCTAGCGATGGTGGGGTACTGATGGCGAAAAATGGTGCATTGCCATGCATCATGGTGCAGGTAATTAATTGTATCGCGCGAACTAGGCTGGTAAAATTGTGCATTGGGCTCTTGATGTTATGGATCACGCAATGCTGTGACACGATAAAATGGTAAGTATAACACATTCGTTGTTTGTTTCTGAATTGGGGAATCTCGAAACCGAAAACCGATTTTTTATTATATGAACCCTACTCTAAATCAATTGTCAGAAATCACCGTTTTGAGAAACAGATATTGCTCTTACTTGATTTTTTCATCGGGGTTCTATGTTGCTACCAAAGTATTACAAATGATTAGATTTAACAACACTGTACGCAAAATCAGTGCTTCTCACACTTTTTTTTGATTGCGATCCACTTTGGGAAATGACGCGAAATTAGTTTAAAATGCATGATTGCCTGAAACCTGCCTGCTTAAAAGAAGCCAAAATATTCCCAAACATATGCCAACCAGTGTGGCGAAATCAGAAATCAATTGATATATTTCCGCTCTCATGCGCTCGCAATATCACGCGATATTGGAACAAAATATCATGCTTGGTATTGATTTTCTAAGCTCCAATGATATTCTATTCACAACGTGCAATCAAGCTGAGAGTTGACTCGACACAAAAATGATTCCATTGCACATCGTTTTCTTAGAAAGAGAAAGCATAGTTTGCTATCTCTTTTTAATCTTCACCGATGGCAGACGCGAAGGGACTGCTGCAAGCCGTTATGGAAGTTTCGGTTGCATTCGTTTACACCCGAAAAAATCATTAAACTCAATCTCACCACAGTTTGGTGAGATTTGCAGTTGGTGAGTTTTGTTAGCTTGATATTCCGAGCTGCGATATCACAGCTTGCAAAATCAACCGCAGTTGTTTGCTTGTTGATTTTTGTCTACAAAAATCAAGCGTGATCTTGGGCGTTGGTGAGATTTGATTTTTTGATATTTTCCCAACACTGATGCCAACAAAATTTTACAATTGTCGATTATTTTCTGAATAGGTCCTATGTTCATTTGATTCAAAATTCAAATATGTTTATTGATGAAAATATCTTGAATATACAGAATACAATGACTAGACTAGGTTTCTTGAACTCCTGGAGTAAAGTGTAGAGTTAAGTGTCATAAATAATAGCAAAACCAAAACGCCATAGGCAAATAAAAGTTTGAACACACTTTTATGTGGTTACACGCAATTTTTGGCCATACATATCAAGTAAATTATGATCATAACCAAGTGTACTCCTAATAGCTACCTTACATTTAAATATTGTAAGATATGATATCCATATTTATGTTTTAGCCCACCATAAGCTTTTACATTGGTCTATTTTGCATTTAATTTTAGTAAATTAAGATACCAATTTCAATCAACCATTTCCCTGATAGTCGTAAATATATCATTGATGAATATATTCATATGCTTAAAATTGTTTTCTTTGCTAAAATATGTACTTTTTAAGGTAGGGAATGACCAAATTTGATTTTTTAGCCCAATTGCACCCCAACTTACGGTACGTATAATCTTTTATTTAATCTTTGAACATTTGATTGTATGCATCCATATTGCAAAACCACTGCTGAAGACGCGGCGAATCAAGTTAATCATTGTGTTATCGCTTATACGTTCTATTCAAATTTTAACCGAGAATTCGTTCATTTATCAAAGCTCAACGGCAGAAACTTTACGGAGCCAAAATCTATAGTACTTGAGACAATGCTTCTGAATAGGCAGCAACTATTTTGCACCAATAGGAACAAGAAAATGCACCTTAGGATTCTGGAAAAGTAGCCAGTCTTCGATTCTACTCAAATAAGTTATGTGAAATTATATACGATACGGCCACAAAGCAGGCTGACATTGGAACGTGATAAGCCCAAAGAGAAGCTACATTTGTCGTAGACCTACTTGTACCCAGCTGAATTTTAAAAATTGCACCTATATAATTAAAAGTATTCTCCATAAATCAAGGGAAATGATCAATAAAGAGATAAAATGTTCCCTAAAATTACTGATTTTTTTTGCAGCGCAGTGAGAGTTAAGTGGACCCTACACGATTGTTTTTATTGACAATAAATTGCGACACCGAAAATGTCATGCCAATTTTCTTATAATGTTTAGAATCAAACCAAAATTTTAGGGTAGTTTTATACATATATTTACTTCAAAAATCAAAAGAAAAGTTAATCGATGGAGCCTTGAGTGTAAAATTGAACGCATTTTCGCTTGATGCCCTCCATCAAAGTCTTTACAGTGTCATCCGGTACCAGTTTCTCAGTTTTTTTTTTTTTCCATTTTCTTAACATGTCCTTCTCGTCTTTGACTGTCTTCTTGCTCTTCCGAAGTTCCCGCTTCATTATTGCCCAGTACTGCTCCACCGGGCGCAGCTCCGGACAGTTTGGCGGATTCATGTCCTTTGGAACAAAATGGACAGAATTGGCCTCATACCACTCCAGGACACTTTAAGAATAGTGGCATGATGCCAAATCTGGCCAAAATAGCGGAGCTTCGTCGTGCTGCTGCAAGAACGGCAAAAGGAGCTTCTCGAGGCACTCAGATTTGTAGATCTCGCCATTTACTGTGCCCTTTGTCACGAAAGGCTCACTCATCAGTCCGCAAGAGCAGATGGCCTGCCAAATGAGATATTTGGAGGCGAACTTCGACATTTTCTTCTTCTTAAATTTGTCGTCCACATCGAACTTGCTCTTGCCGGTGAAAAACTCCAACCCCGGAATTTGCTTAAAATCGGCTTTTATATACGTTTCGTCGTCCATCACACAGCAGCCATATTTTGTCAGCATCTTCTCGTAGAGCTTCCGTGCCCGAGTTTTAGCCGTCGATTGTTGCCGCTCATCGCGGTTTGGGAAGTTCTGTACCTTGTATGTATGTAGTCCAGCTCTCTTCTTTGCATTCTGGACGTAGCTCTGCGACATGCTGATCTTTTTAGCCAAATCACGGCTTGAGACGTTGGGATTTGCTTTAATCATCCGCTTCACCTTTCCCTCCGTCTTTTTGTTCTCCGGTCCCGGTTTTCTTCCAGCTCCTTTGCCGTGGTCCAACGTCAACCGCTCCTGGAACCGCTTCAACACTCTGGAGACGGTTGAATGGTGAATGTTCAACATTTTTCCCAACTGCCGGTGCGACAGGTCAGGAAATTCCAGGTGTTTGGAAAGAATTTGTTCTCTCAACTCGCGTTGGTTCACCTCCATTTTCGTTGAATCGAAAAACACGACTTCGAGTTTGACAGCATGTACACAATACACATCAATGAGAAAGTGTGCAAAATTTGGTTGATTTTTACCCAATCGTAAAAAAGTTATGCCCTGTTGAATGTGTCGCAATAATTTCGTGTTCGCCCTTTACGTGTGGGGACGCTTTAGAGTCATGACAAACAACAATCACCAGCAATGGTCACTGCTCACAGGCAAAACGTAACACTCGCTGCTGATGATGGAAAGCACAACGAAAACAGTGTAGACTTCTGCAGTAGCAAAACGACAGAAGAAAATGAAGACAATGCCCACGCATTCCAAGTTCGTCTCGGCACGCGTGACTGTGTGAATTGCAAACAACGCTAGCAAAATTAAACGGAAGCTGTTGGGCTCACTCACACAAGCAAGCAAACCAGCAACTTCTTCAAAACGAGCACAGATGAGTGCCGTGATTGTCGGGAGTTACCAGATTGATGATGGATCACCACCGAAGACGACATTCACTAGTTGCTTTTTACTTCTTTCGTCAACTTGTTGGATGGTCATGGAGAGTGCTTCGACAAGCATATTGATAAGAATGTACCAAGCGTTACTACCATCTGCTGTTTGACAATCGTGATTGTGAAAGGTCTCAACTCTGGCACCAATAATAAAAATAAATGAGCAGTTTCATGTCGAATCGATAAAACTTGACCTTTTCTGATTTGTATGATACTTAACATAACTTTTTGTTAAGAGCAATCATTATTTTTTTTACTAAAATCCGGTTGTTGCAATTTCAAAGCGGCATCTTTGACATTTTTCAATCAATTTTAACACAGAACAGAACGTTTTGCAGCGCAGTGAGAGTTAGAGCCATGTCACTTCTGATCGAAAGAACGTCGAATAAAAAGTTGCTGAGAAAAATATAGTGTAACTAATAAAATACACAAGGGATTTTTTTTAGGAATTTTGAATAAATATTTTGATAAAGTGTTAATTACTAACATATCTCAAAATGTCTACATCAATTTTATTTTTAAAGCTCATAGAAAACTCAAACTTTTGGAGTAAAGTATTTTCCTGATTTTGGCATCATCTGAAATTTCAGGTTGACAAAATCGGGAAATTTTCTTTATCAATATTTTAACCTTCAAAATGATTTTGAAATCAAGTTTAACCATTATTTATCCACTATTAATGGGATTACTGATATCAGTTTACTAATCATTCAATAAAGAGTACACCAAACGTCTCGAAAAGTTTGCGTACGGTTTGTTGAGCCGGTCACATCTATGACACAAACGTCATTCCCATATACTTTGCGTGAAGCCGAAAAATCCTGGTTCTCTGGTTCGATCGAACCAGAGAACCAGGATTTTTCGGCTTCACGCAAAGTATATGGGAATGACGTTTGTGTCATAGATGTGGAGCCGGTACGTACTGAACGGTTTCCTTAAATTTGGCTTGGTTTCCAGTGCTGCAACCAAGGCTGAACCTCCATATCTCAGTATCAACGTAGCCAGGAGCCTACTTTTTACTGCTTGGTCCCAAGAAGTTCGGTATGATTCAGTGTTCACTCGGCTGTCGACAAAAGCAGGCCACTCTCGATGTGTGCTACGCGATCGTCTGTTTTCTCGGCAGCAACCATTGTGTGGTCCTCCTCATTGTTCTTCATCAGCAGTTCTTTCGGTCGATGTGTCGTCGACTTTGGAAAGCAACCGTTTCGTGATGAGTGTGTGAGTGCTGACCACGTTTCGCGTCCATTGCTGCAATGG